CCGTATAAAATCTCAGTGTTTCCATTTGTAAAGTTCCTACCTTTCAGAAACCACTGAAAGGAAATGACCAATGCCTGCCTAGTACATGGTGACACCACATTACAAAATAGCAAAAAACTTCAAGAAAACCTCCACCAATGGTACAAGTTGTCGTGAAATCATCAAAAATGATCTTTTAAGTCAAAATTGTTGGTAACAATGGAAACAATGCATTTATGGACTGAGAAATGGAAAAATTGGGATCTTGGTTTATGCCGCCCTGTTGAATCGTGTAAACGCTTGGTGATACCTCCAGTTATGCATTTGGACGCCTTTGCTTGGGAAAGCGAAAGGGACATGTTTTGTCGCTCAAAATGCGAGGTATAAGTACAGAAAAAGCCAAAACGAACTCTCCCACGAGATAGTTTAGGGGAAACTATGATAATTATTTAGGCAGAGCAAATGGGACAGTTATCAGGAACGACACTTGATGTTACTTGTCACTTCTGCAGAAGGGTGTGTGCTACAACCTGAAGTCAGCCCGAACTTATTGTTTTTCTACAGAGACTGGGTCTGATCACAACCTATTGGTTGATAGGAAAGGAGGGTTTTGACAGACCCCCTGCCCGACACCCCGGGAGGAGATATCTGAGTCCCTCTTCGAGACTTTATACGTCTATTATGCGAGCTAACACAACCGTGAAATCAAATGGCCTTTTTTAGTTCTTTGTGCGATTATCGTAAGATGCCAAGCGCTTTGTGTATTTTAGAGGTTAATCATTAAATTTTTTACCTCACATAAATTTGACAAACTACTTGAATCTTAAGATGCCACTGAAAAGCTTAGATCAAACTATCGAGAAACACATATATTGTTCTCGGTCATTCTAACCGACGATATTCTCCATACGAAAGAAAATCCTAGAAAAAGGCGTTGGCACGGAGGTCTACAAGTTTGATTAGGTCACGCAATACGCCACGCGAGGAAGCACGCGTGTCGTGTATTTCTAGCTCCCTTACACCTGGTCTGGACCTAGGTTATGAGTTCACGTTTGATCACCGAAGCCTTCTGCTTATCATTGACCGCAGAACGTCGCGCTTGTGAAAGCGATGTCAATAAAACTGTAAAACCTTCTGGAAGCTTAGACATAAAGTGGTGGCCTTGTCCTTGAAATACCGCATTCCTTTGCTGGAATACACTCCATCTGTTGTAGCAAACTTTACAACCGGGAGAAACCAATAAAGCGAATCCTGATCAGTGTGATCTGATTGCCTGCAGTACAAAATATCCTAAGCCTCCTTCATACAAATTTTCTTTGACAGTTTTCAGCCTTTTAAAGGGGAATATTAGAAGTATTTCATTGTGAATAAACTTTGTAAGAGACCTTAACTGGTGAAACAAGTTATCGTTAACTTATCAAAAAATGATCTTAAAAGTTAAAAATCGTGGGCACGATTGAAAAAGAAGTATTTAGTGAGAGAAAAAAAATCGAAAAGGATTATTGCCTGTTTTGAAAGAGGAACTCTTAGCGTGCTGCAATGTTGGATGTGCGACGTCACGCTTGGTGGGTGTGTGCAAGTCTGATCAGGTCACGCGTAGAACCATGCGAGGTGAGTGTGTGCGAGTCTGATAAGGTCACGCAAGGAGCCATGCGAGGTGGGTGTGTGCGAGTCTGATCAGGTCACGCAAGGAGCCATGCGAGATGGGTGTTTGCGAGTCTGATCAAGTCACGCGTGGGGCCATGCGAGATGTGTGTTTACCAAGTTTCTTTCTCTTATTATGCTGAAGATCCAGGTTTAAAAATATATTTTATTTAAGACCGTAGCACAATCAAATCTACGGTCAACAAAGGACAGAGAAAACTTTCCAAGAAGGGTGCTCCCGCAGACTCTTCAAAATCCTCCTTTGTGAAATGTCCATTCGTTGTCTCCTTCCAGTGATCTCCTCGTTTTTAGTGACATCTTCGAGCCGAACAACATAGGGCGAGTCAGTTTTCACATTTCAGAGAGCCAGGAATCCAAAGAATCCTCGATTAAAGTGTTTCTTGTCTTAAGAAAGTTTTTTGATTGGTTTATACACAAACCCTGCTGTCATAACAAATAATTGATTCCAAGAATAGCTACAAAAAAAAAGTCACAAGGAATCATTGTTTCGATTTCAATTCCGAGAAAAGCTGATATCCTCGAGCGTATGTTCAGTTCTTAGTGAAAAGCACATGGATATCAAAACGTTGCTTCACAATCTTCGCGAGGAAGTTTCGTGCCCAGTGTGTACTAACGTGTACACTGATCCAAAGCACCTTCCATGTCTACACACGTTTTGTCTGCACTGCTTGAAACACTGGCACAGAACAAGCCATGGCCGAGACACAATCAGATGCCCGAAGTGTCAAGCTATTAGCAGAGTGCCTGATAGTGGCGATTTGAAAGATCTTCCTACCAGCTTTTATCTGAACGGCTTGATTGATGTGCTAGCAATTAAAGAGTGCAAAACCAGCCAAGTACGATGTGGAAATTGCGACAAGAAAAGCGCCGAGAGTTCCTATTGTTTTCATTGTTGCGTGTTTTGGTGTGACGAGTGCATCATTGGACACAACATCATTCGCAACAATAAAGATCATCGTGTTCTAGCGCTCAAAGACTTTCAAGACAAGGACTATGAAGATGTGATGAAACGACCGATTTTCTGTCCTAAGGAAGATCATAACAAAGAAGAGCTAAAGTATTTTTGCAAAGACTGTGAAACGCCACTTTGCCAAATATGTTTCACATTGGATCATGGAGGTCATAATATGAAGTTAATCAAAGAAGAAGCGGAGAGACAAAGGACTGAAATGAAGTCTTTTATTGAAAAACAGCGACAAAATTTACGAGCAAAGATGAATGCCGTGAGCCGACTTGATGGAGAATGTGCCACACTGATACAACAAGGCGAAGATGTGAAGATAGTGATTCAAACATTTGTTGACAATTTAATTGCAGTCATTGAAGCAAACAAGAAAAACATATTCGCAGAGGTGGAAAAAGAAACAAACAAGTCGATTGAAAGCATAATAAGGCGAAAGACCGAGATCGAGCGTCAAAT